GAGCTTCGTGAACAGAGGTCGTTGTGGTGGAAGAGCAGGGTCTGGGCTGGAGTAGACCATGTCTTACGGACAAGGGAGCAAGTGAGGAGGAGAGACATGTCGGGTCCATGGGCCCGGGTGATGGATGCGAGTTCGTTCATACTACGAATAGGTCCGGCTGGGAGGGTAGCGGGACGGGCATAAGGCTTAGGCTTACAGGGGCTGGAAGAACGGGGCGTACGCGAGCGTAAGGTTCAATCATGATGTCTTTCGACGGGGTCTGTGTTCCATGTTAGTCACGAGGAATGAAAGAACTAAGTCAACGAACGTACGAGAGGCGTGAAGGGCCAGAAAAATCCGGGAAACGAGAGCTGCAAGTAAACCATCGTATCCGTCAGAAACTATGGTCCAGATGCGTCGGTGGTCGGGTTCGGGTCGTCGTCAGATGCTCAAGCTAGGTAATGACTTCAACGTGACTGAGCCCCGCTCGAGATGAAGAGAGAGCGCGAGGGCCTGCAGGGAGAACGGCATGGGGGCGTCGAGAACTAAACATTCCCATTCTCACCCATCACAGCGACCTTCAAAGCGATGTCTTTTCTGGGACTGAAGCCCGCCGACCTCTCGATGTTCAAGGTATCTAGCTTACCACATTCGTTCACCGCTGCCTCTGAAGCCCTAATGCCCATCGATAATGAACATCCATCCGTGTGACGATAGCAAGGGAGAAACGAACATGTGACGTACTCATGAATGCAACTCTACCCTCATCCTCCCGCCTACAGGTATCCTCTCTAGCCTCCCGAAACGTCTCCACAATCCTCGTCCTGTTTTCATGGCGCGAGTGCGGATTCTGCATGATGCGCGAGTGCGTTCCAAATTGATCAGCAACTCAAGTGTCAGAGCTTACAGGATCAAACAGGAGGGAGATGCGGATGCAGGAGGGGATGGGAGAGATCTGCAGGCGCTAGACGTACCTCCGAATGAACCGTCTCAGTTGCTTGTTGACAGCACGATTTGGGTACGCTGTAGGGAATTGCAAAGACTCTACTAGGCGGTGAATGCATCTCTTCCTAAGAAAACATGCTCTGCAACGTGCTCTTAACGAGACGCACCACAGAACAAGCCCTCAGCGCAAAGAGAGAAAGCTCCACTATACCTTCCACCTCCGAAAACGGCATCCCTGCGAGGATCTCTTCAGCGGTTCAGTGGAAGGTAGAAGAGAAGTACCGCCGGAGTGGGTTCCCCTCTGCACCAGTGTGCAGGGTAGGTCGAACTGAACACTCGGGCGGGCAAGCTGATCAACATGAGCAGCTGAAGTTATATATGCTCATTCGGTGCCTTTTATTACGCATGAAACCCGATCGCTTAGAACGGTGTCGTTGCGTCGCGGGTTCGACTCTGACTCAGGCCGTTTTTTCGGGCGCACTGTGGATCGTCTGGGTATTTTTTTCACACTTTGTTCTGCACTGTAGGCATTTTCTCCCGTTATCTATGGCCCGTCACCGTGACGGAAGGAATAATATAAATAGCCATACCTTTAAATTAATTACTCCAGTAAGTCATCCTTTCTTGAAAAAAAACACCCCCGATTGATTACTCTCTCGCGGTAGCTCTGAGACTGACAGCCACGAGAAGAGTGAGTGTGCGAAGACAGCGAAAAAGGGCTGTCCACAGCGCGTCCAAAAAGCGGCATGAGTCAGAGTCGAACCCGCACATCTGCGACGGTAAGTGTCGGCCGCGCCTCCAACCCAGCTCAGCCACCTGCGTTTGTCATGACCCCTCCATCAATAGATATATACCACCCCTTGTACCGCCCACCCCTACCCCACCGCCTGCTTCACCCTTTCTCGGCCTTCAATATTTTCGGTTTCTCCCTTTTTGATCCCCCTGGTGCGCTTGAAATTTAATTCACCATTTATTTCTTCTTCATTCACCCACCCACACACAGCCTGCGACGCCACAATCGGAGACGCGGCCGCCACTCAGATGTGGTCGCGCGCGTCCGTGGGACAGGCGCGTGTGCCAAATTTGATTTCCCAGATTCGGGCGGGGGGAGAATAGCATTTGCTTGCTTTTCGACTTCGCATTGCAGATCTGAGTTCCATCACAAATGGCCCCTCTGCGAACATCTTCAAGGCTTACTCTCTCTGACCCTCGGGGCAGAAACTCGAAGTCAGGAAGGGAAGACTCGGATTCGGGGCATTTACGACGACGACAATCGTCCGAAAAGGTCACATCGGTGGTATGTATCCGTCTTGTCTTCAATGCGCTCGTAGATAACTCACGGTCACGGCCGTGTACGGTGTCAGATCACATTCTTGTTCTCAGATGGCAGCCCCAAGGAATGCCAATTGAATGTAGACCATGAAGAGGCCAATTATCGGCTTGTCGGAATGGAGGAAATGTCGTCCATCAGGTGGAGAAAGGAGATTGCGCGTGAATTATCGTTGAGCCTTCACATGCCTGGTGGGTCCAGCCGGAACCTGGATAGATGTTTGATAACGGATTATGCATACTGAACACTGTTTCCCTCTTCTTCTTCCCGTTATAATCAAAACACGCAATCACTGCAACCAGCTGATGCTGATCATGTTATCAATCAGTGGCCGTCTGGATACGCGCTCTTCGAATACATTTCCCCCAAGAACAAACGAGCGTACTATTACCTCTACGGTGAGATTAATTTCCTAGGTATAGGCACACACCTTCCACAAACAACGCCTGAGCATCCACCCTTTTTCTCTCGTAAAGGATCGACATTGGTCACCAGATTCAAGTCCCCGAACGAATTCATACCCCACGCCCTATGGCTTCAACAGGGTCAGCTCATCGACCACAGTACGAACTGCACCTGCAAGTACGCAGAATCTCGTACGAAAGGAGGCCCCGGGGTCTCCACCTTACCAAAACAGAGCTCAACTGTCTCTGAGAAACAGTCGAAGCCGTACGCTGTAATTCGTTCAATCCCTCTCAAGTCAGATCGTACGGCATACAGTGCACCGGGGAACGTTCCTGACAGCGGTAGGGTTGAATGGCTTAGAGAGGGGGAGGTGGTCTGGTGTATCATTCACCCGATCACCAGTACGCACGGAGAAGCTATAAATTTCTGGCCAGGTGTGGTGGAAAATATGCAAGTCATCTCCCAGCATGACACGCTAGATGAAGACCAGACCAATCGCGTCTTCGAGGGACCACTATCGGCAAGGCACCACGATGATCACGTACAGTCGCCGACGACTTCGACCGCTACAGCAAGGTACATCGTCAAGCTCCTTGGCGTTCGCCAAAGGTTCGCCTTTCCGGCCGGTAAAATCATCCCCTACATCTCTCGTCGAACAGATGTGGACCTCTTGCAAGTCATGCAAGAGGTTCCCGTCGAGCACTTAACGCTCGACCCGGACATGGCCGCCTCATTTCAGCCTTGCGATCTTTCACTTGGCCCAGTCGACGATGACAGCATGCAACATCGCTTCACACAAGCTGTTGTACCTTACTCTCTCGCTCTTGAAATTGCAAAAAGTGTCAGCTGCTGTTGGGCACCGATGGACGAGCGTAGGCCGGCGGATCATTCTCCCGCTTCCCCTCCACGATCGACCACATTACCGACAGCGTTTGCCCACACAGCATATACCAGGGACCAGTCTTCCCACAGCCTACCATCTGACGCCACACCGTTCGCAGACACCGCCACCCAATTGGTACCTGAGCGCATCGATGGCCAACCACGCTATCAAGGTCTTTGGTGGGGATCAGAGCAGATCATGGTGAATGACCTCATTCGCTTGAAAGCATCCAGGCGGCAGATTTCTTCGGACAACGTCTTTGCGCCGTCAGGGCCCTCGGCAGGTTCGATCTCTAGGTGGCGGGAAGCCAAAAACGGGGAGAACTTTGAGGAATTGGGCGCTGTTCGTCGAGGCGTTTTCATGGTGTTGACTAGGTTATTCGCGGTAGATGTGACAGATGAAGGTGGCAGGAAGAATAAGGAGTGCAGGGCAAGTGGCAGTCTTTATGAACTGGCGGATGAAGAATGGGAGGAAGGCGAAAAGGTTACCATGGACGCAGTATCTTCGGGTGGCACCGAGACGAAAAGGACGACCGTACACGGTGACGACCGCCAAGTTACGGGCGCAACATTCGCGATGCATTCTGAGCAACCATCATTACCACCTCCACCCGCGGGCTGTCGCTTCCGCCCTATTCTTCGCGCAGGATATGAGGCGATTGTTTCCTTGAACCTCCTCAGCGGACGCTACTACCCCTCTCTTTTGTCTCATCCATGCTTTGAGGTGCAAGGTTACAACATACAGCGCGTCTCGCACGGGGTTGTGCAGCCTGAGATGCGCGAACTCTTGAGTTTAGGAGGCCTGTTCCCCGGCCATTTCAACCCCATGGATCCGGTGAAGTGGCTGCCGGACAGAAGGGCCATGTATCAGGTTGCAGAGGACGAGAACAGGGTGCTGTTGTGGGAGCTCTGGAGTACAAAGGCTGCCGATAGTCAAGAGGTTAAGACCGAATCTAGCACTTAGCATAGTGACGGGAAGGATAGCGTATACGCGTATATCGAGCGCTGAGTCCTATGTACTGTGTTTAGCACTGGGTATAGAGCACTACAATTATGTCGTTTGTCAAGCAAAACGTTTCGATTTATGATTCTATGAGTTTAAATACGAACAAGTTTCGTCAGAGCTGCGCTCTGACTGAAAGACCAAATCTACATTGGCACGCTGAGTCTGTATGCGGTCCATGGTCATCAGCGAAATCACCCGCTCCTAAATTCTTCCTAAACCGGAAGTCGCGTCGCGGCGGTGTCGCTCGCCTAAGAGCTGCCTAAACCTGCCTAAACCTGCCTATAGCCACGGGGTCACCTCAAGCGCGACTCCCGAGCTCTCTGTGCGTACTTTTAGATCCCTGACTGTTCATGATAAAGCCACTTGCATATGACTCCCTTGAGATATCCATGTGAATGTTGTTCTATTAGTGAGCAACTGTACATACTCATACTAAATACATTGGGAAGCATACAGAAGTCCGTGAATGAAAGGCCAACAACGCAGAGAAACATAATGGGGCCTGAAGTGAGCGGGTGACGCAACGACCATACCATAGTGCCCAAAAAATACCGTGAACCAGCTGGCAGAACACTTACATGTGTAGTACAAAGCTGTCCACGAAAACAACGTACCTCAGCTAGTCCACCGATGTATACACCGCGCAGCCTCCAGCTGTCCTTTCAATTCCTTCGCCAAATCCCTCCTGGCCCCTATTCCTCAGCTTCCTCTGCGCCACCCTTATCCCCTTGGGAAACCGATCGCGCTCGAACGCTGGGACGAGAGCTGCGTGTCGCAAGGGCCTAGTGCGTCTGGAGCATATCTGCTCGAACAGCACTAGCCCTATTACGAAGAAAGAAGTTTCAGCAACAATGACATGATAGAAAAAAAGAGGAGGATACGCACGTTGCTGCTGTTGCCAGTACCATTGTCGCCGCCGCTCTTGGTTGGCGTAGGCGCATTGCTGGTGCCAGTTTTGTATGTCTCAAGCTTTGACCCCAACCCTTCCGCTCCCGTCCCAATCGCCTCGGAGCTCAGGAACGTGGTCCGTCTGAACGAAGCAGGGACTGCGACAGCCCAGAAACTGAGCCCGAATCCGAGTGCGAACCCATTCCTCTCCTATTCCTAATCGCGGACGTCGATGGTGGAGGACGATAGGAGGAAACCGAGGGAGGCAGTGCACGCATGGCCGGTGTTGAGTGTGAAGAGCTTGCGCTCGAGGTAGCCGGGAAGGTCGGAGGTGGAGATGTGCACGGCGGGAGGGATGGAGTTGAGTGAGCGTTGGTCGACGATCTATTCGTAGTAGCCTTCGACGCGGACCCCGAGGAGTGTTTAGGTTTGCCGTTGGGATTGGGCACCAGAGAAAGTGAGATGGGGAGGCGACACGTGGTGTGGGCGAAGAGATGGGGCATGGGTGAAGAAAGAGGGTGGCGGACAGGGCGTCAGCATCAAGGGTTTCGGGGGAAAGAAGGAGGACGCTCGACGTGGAGAGGCACTCACCTGCCCTTCTCCTTGTCGAGCTTGTCGGTCACATATTTCGAAAGCTTCTTGATCTCGCGCTTGGGACTAGGTATTCTCGGTATCGACCACGAGGCTCTCAAATGGTTAACTTGGCGCAAGGAGCAGGCGGCCTTCGTGACACGGAGAGGGTATTAAGATAAAAAAGACAAAAGAGAAAGAAAAAAAATCAGACACACCTTCGAGCACGGGATGCGTGCGTGTGAGAGTTCATGAGTGGATGAAACCTGTGCGGGATATCTTGACGCAGAGATCACAGCTGAGGGTGTCCCAGCTCTCGCTGGCGTTGATCACGAGCATCCCGTTCTCCGTTCGTTTGACGTGAAGGTCCGAGCCTTTGAGTGTCGTGTAGGTGCCGGTTCGCGAAAGAGGCGTAGACGACGTCGTCGATGGTGAGGTGTAGGATGCCGTTCTCGAAGATGGGTTGGGAGGACGCGGAGAGGAGGTGGGCGCTCACGAGTATGTCGAGACATTTGAAGACTTCGTTATGTGGGATCAGGAGCGTCATGTGCGGGACCAGAACGTCAGCGAGGGAGGCGGAAATGACAGCGGTGAGGTAGGAGGTGTCGAGGTCGGGGAGGGAGACAGCCATTACGTCCACTTGGGGGACGAGCGGTCGGAAGATGAAGTTGATGAGGACGTCAGTATTCTCAACGTGCACTAGATTCGTCGTGAGTGAAAAGATATCGTCGCGTTAGGGGAACAAACGACTTACTAGGGTCTCCGACTACAGACGCCAACCGAGTGTGCCGTGGATACGACGGGAGGAGCGATCGGATTGGGTACGGATTTGGGTGCCAGTAGGTTGGCGACGACGACGGAGGAAGCAGAAGACGAGGAAACCGAGAATGGTGATAGGGACGCTAGGCCACCAATCATGCAGCCGGCTATCACATCAACGTGGGAAAAAGAGGAGGAGGTGGAGGCCAAAGAGCAGGTTCTGAGGACGAAGTGTGAGTGGATAGTGGATGAGGTAGAGAAGGGTATACCTCGGAAAATGAAAGGGACGCACCGAAGCCATCATTCTCTTCCTCCGCGGTCACTTTACCATTCGTCTGACCTTCTTTCCCACACCCGTCTGGCTCGTGCGTTGCGTGCGCACCTTTATTTACGACGCAGGAGGATCTGCATAGTCGGACAATGGAAGGTAGATGCGAGACGACAGGGATAGGGAGGTTAAATGTAGGAGAAAGTGGTCAATATGCGATCGAGAAGTCGGAGACGGGGGAAACCAGCGAAAGGGACGCACATGGACATGCTGCAACCTCCTATCACGCTGTTCGATTGAGGTTCTCTAGGTTTTGTCCTACCCAAGTCCGAGCGTCTATCCGTGTTCATGCTATGTTCGTTGCCGGGGATATCTCCGCGTGCAAATATGGCCGGAGACGAAGTCGGAAGACACACTACCGCTGAAACCGTGAGTGTGGGCAGGGTGTGAGAAAAATCACAAAGTGCACCAGCCGGCAGCGAGGTGATATTCGAGAGGACGGCACAGGAGCATTCGCGCGATCAAGTGAAATAGTCAGCAAACCGGAGGGACAAGTCGGAAAAGGAAAGGGACGGACCTGGATATGTCGCCCCTCATTCTCTGCCTTCGGCATCACATTGCTTTTGTTCGACCTTGCCTCGCGTGCCCATCAACTCGCATCCGTCGTCTGGGGGTTTGTGCGCATTCTGGAAATGGGTGAGACGAAGAACAGGAGTTGCGAGGCTTGTCGTCGCCACACGTTTGCGCCACCTCTTTGTTTGTCCGTGTTTGGTTCATGTTGACTTTTGCGACTTCTGGCTTCTGGCACTTCCAGAGCAACTAGTCACAGTCGTCAACATTCGCAGTCTCTCTCTCGCCACCCTCTAATCTTCTGCTCTTCCTCTTGAGTCTCGTGTTTTCGCCTATGAGGTGCTCGCTCGCCCATGCACGACTTCTCGCATGCTTGTACACCTGCACCCGCGCTCATTCGGTGAAGTGGACAGTGGATGGGCGGGACGCTGGTCGATGGAAGAGTCAACTGCTAAGCGACGCGTCTCTCATCAACCGCAAACAAATAAAGACAAACAGAGTGCCGCGCCACTCCGAGTCGGAGCTGCGCCACATCGGCGTCGTCTCAGCGGCCACTTCGCTCACATTCTCTCTGCTTTCTGTCTGCTTTGGCTAGCCGAACATTTCACAATGTGTAAGGGGAGGGAAGAATAGACTGAGACGTACAGCTTTCCAGAGGTAATTGATATTCAACAGTCTGGCATTGGCTCGAACACTCTTGAGACACTCTCAGTGGTACTTTCAAACCGCAAAAAACAAATAGTTTGTTATACTGTATGCGTAGTGTTTCGTATACAACCTCCTGTGGGCCCTGGGCCCATCATGGTTTTAAGATGGCATGCACTTTACAAATCGCTCACAGCTCGAACACCCTCTTTTCAGGGCTAACCTCTAGCTAATCCGAGCTTATTACCGCTCGAATTAGCCGCGCGATTAGCTGACATTAGCGCGGGGGTGATTTCCCGATGTAGCTAGCGCTGAAGTGGTCACTGGTTCACGTCCTGACAATGCTCGTCAGCCTGATGCAGAGTCCAGCAAGAGTTCAAGAAACTTACAAAAAGTCCCAGCCAGGATGCACACTGTGATGTCCATGGATGGCCGGAACAGATTGTCCATGGGAGGAGGTGAGAGAGGCTGCGAGACCATTGTGGTGGAGATAGATTCCGTACGCTACATCCGACAAGGGGTCCAACGGTTCTACATGATTAGAGGACGCCGGAAGTGTCCAGCGGTGCATGAAAGGTGCGCTGTCGACCTCATGAGGTGACGCTGCTATCGTATGGTTGGTAAGTCGATGGTCGGGTGGTATGGTTGAGGACATTCGCTCATCGTCAAGGTCAGGGTTCCTTGGAGACAGAAGTTCCAGCGTGTCCTCAGAGTCGCCTTTTTCACGGCTGAAAAGATGCCTATCGTGAGCATCCACAAGAAGGATGCTTTGATTGATGGCCAAGAAGAGGAGCTTACACATAGTACAGACCATTCATTCCAAGCTCAATATGAGGCGGATAGCGAAAGTTGGTGGCATAGACCATTGAGAGAGGTACAGCGACCTGGGCTAAATCGGATCTCCTCACAGGCCTCTGTAGTCGGCCGGAGAGGACATCTTCCTCTGAGTAGTATGCAACTACATGGTGGGCCGTTCCGTCAGCTACGACGGTGATGGTCTAGTGAAAGAATGCTAGATCAGTATGTGAAGGTGACAAATGCTAACAATGCCCACCTTCTTGGACAACCCATTCAGTTTCTCAGTGCAGTGACCTCTCCTTAGCGACCAGCTAGTCGTCGCTGGAAGAGATGTCTGCGTTCCCGATACGTCTCGTTCAAAATTACACCCCGAGGGCATAAGCTCACGATATACCTATCAGCACCGTTCCAGTTTGATATGGTGGGGCGGCGTCGTCCAGAGGGTAAATCAGAAAATGTTACATTGAGGCAGAGGAGAATATGTAACGTACGAGGAAATTACCGACAATGCGAGAAGGAGACCTAGATGTGTATCATTATCTGTAACAGCTGGATAGCACGATAAAACCGACCACGTCAACCCGTCCGTCCACCGTTTGATGTGGCTCTCCTCCGCGCTGTAAACGAATACGGCTCCAGACATGATCATCGACCTACGTTCGGCGTCGCTCAGGCGCCGCACGATACGGGGAATAAGTCCAGACCTGCCACGTATATGCCCGGATCACATAAACAGCAATGGCATGAGCAAAAACAGCCGGTCCCATACCAAAATAAGATCTCACCTAGCGGCTATAACAAGACGCAGCGCGTCAATGGTCGTTTCGACTACACCTACGAACGGGCAAGCTCCAGGCGCCAACAAGCCCTGCGGTGCATCTTGCATAGCATGCATTCGAATGAGCGGTGGTGGGCTCAAAAACAGCGTGAAAGGTTGACGAGGAAGGAAATATGCCCTCTAACAAGGCAAAGAAGAGAATGGACAGATAGATGAAAAAGATGAGGAAAACAGAGTGACCACAGGAGAGCGGGAAGAAGGGGTGAGTAGCCCGCACGAAGCAGCATGGGAAAACTATTATAAATACTAAACGACAACCAGGAGGCCATAACGTGACAGACATTTTCGGGGGAAGGGAGGCTTTCAGGCCTCAGTCGTCGTAAACGATTTGGTCATACTTCCATAGGCTACACTGACAATACCTAGTCGGTCAGCATCCCGGAAGGTTAGGGTATTAGCGCCTCCCACTGGAGTGGAACCTCTTCCGTTGTCAGCTGGCGATGAACCTCGACTCGAAGGGGGCCGGATTGGGAGCCTGAAACTCTCACGCCAATGACGCACGTCTGGTCGAGAAATTACAATACAAGAAGAAACTGTGTAGAAGTATGTCAGTGGTTGACTTCCCGTAAGGAATCTGTATTGTATCTTGGGCATAGATCCAACACAGATCCCCACACATATTGGTCTTGGTCCAGAAGGACCGATGGAGAACAACGACGAATAAGTACTCACTTGGCGCATATCCAGATTACCGTCCGCTACTCAGGCCACATTACACCACAACTGCCAACTCCGTAGTCTGGACTCGCTCAAAACACACCGTCTCAATCAATTCACTAGAAGAACCACAACCGACTTTGAGAACACCTCCGACGACATTTCAAACTTCCCTGGACCAGTACTCCCTGATGGGTCTGAAGAACCCCGCCGTTTTGATGCGCTGGACATCGAGCCTTCGACGCACCCAACGGAAACTTTCACAGACGACATCCTAGCTTCTTCGATGATGTTCTTAGCGGGACAACCCTGACGGATCAAACCTGAAAAGATGTCGAATGTAGCTCCCATGGGGGAGATGTCGTTCTCCGAGAAAGAAATTGACGGCGCTTTGCTGAGGATAGACGGATTAACACATGGCCAGGGTAAGTACTAGCGGTGATACTCTGATTCAAAGGGAGACATGCACTTTACTACCATGCTCTTCGTCACCAATGGCAGACTATACGGCAAGTTGTCAACCTCATTGAGGGGACTGGAGCTGACGTTAATAAGTAATGGAAACTTAAGATCCCCGTACTTCACAACTCCTCCTGAGCCAATCCAAACCCCACCGTTTCTATCCTTGCTCCGATCCTTCCTTAGTCGCAGCTTCAATTGCTCTGATCTTCTAATCTCCTCATCGAGCCCCGCTGGCTGACTCAGCCAATCTCTCTCTATTGACTAAAGTTTGAGCGCATTTCGCTTTGCGGAATACTTAGGATTCGTCGTCGTCAACGTATGGACCGCAGTAGTATGGGTATAAGTGGAAGGAGAGAAGGTGGAAAAATAGGCAGGCCGGGGAGGGAACAAACTGGGTATGTCGGGAAAGTGTATTGAGTGGGCGTGGGGTAGGATGGATAAGGCTGCGAATTACGGTTGGAGTTGTGGGCTGAGGTCAGTACGGGCGTCAGAGGGAGCGAACCCGTGACGGTGAGGTGCAGGTGCGTATTAGGAGAGCGAACCTCTCTCGACCGGTCTTGCCTTCTCTTACGACTTCCCGGACATCGAAATACAATCAGATCCGGCGTCTGTCGAGTAGGGGGAACAAGATTGAAGGATTCACCTTCGACTTAGCCAACTCCAGGTACATCCACCTTCACAGATCCCTTTCTGCCTCCTCGTGCTGGTCTGCATCTCGTCCATCTTATTCTCCGTCTTGGCGTTGGGCTCGACAGAAAGCTTGGCAGATTGCTCATGCTTAGTCGAGCGGTTGTAGTCCTGCATCACCAGAGGGCCAGACATGACCTTGTGCACTAAACGGGTGGTCAGGGAGGAAAAAAACGTACATGAAGTTACATTCAGAGAGGCACGAGACTGGGACTGGGAGTCACGAGCGTCGGTACCAGCTTTCTCGTCGTAATGTTGCAGGAGTGCCAAACTATGCCGTGAATGGACCAAGGGCCCATGTACACCCAGCAGAACTAGTCCTTGGGCTTCTTGCACGTCATATGGCTGTGACGGAATCAATGTCAGCGAAACCTGTAAAGACCGCAGAGTACGGAATACCTGCAACCCCCATTCTTCTCGATCGTGCTCTGACACTTGCTACACTCCTTCGTAGAGCGAGGCGGAGAAAAGGTTCGTATATTTGATGTTCGGCGTCGACTAGAGTCTTCTGTGCAGCTCGTGTAGACATCCTTGGAAACCAATGCTCGCAGATGAAATGGCGTACGAATGTTTCGAAGCAGAGTAACGGGCGTTTGTCAGTGCCAAAAGTGGCCTGGAAGAGATGAGGAGTATGGTGCTCGATGATGGTGAGCATGATTGCACGGACGGTGTTAAAATCGATGGGAATGCCGGCGGTACGAAGGTACTAAGGTACTCGACGATGGCTTCAACAACGTCCGGGAACATTGACTGATGGTAATGGAAACGTAACAATGAAGATGATCAGACATGGAAACACTTCAAAGCAGCCGCATACGCACCAGAATCCCGCTACGTGTACATAACCAAGCCATGCGGCTTATTGCCCATCTACACTCGCTGTAGAACCTTCCCCTTCCACGTTGAAGCAGTGTTTTTCGGGCGTCCAATCCAGCGGCCCAGAACCTGCGAGGTAAGACGAGAGAACTGTTGAGGATTACGAGCGTGGAGGAGGTTGACCATTACCTTGGATGACATCGGTAGCCCCATGTTTGCGCTTACGTCCTGTCTTCTTCTTCTTCGACTGTCCGAGCTCCTTGAATTGGCGAGAAGGTCGTGAAGCCTCTGCGAAAATGACGACTGAGGGGTTGTTTATAGTCACGGCGGTGTTCCCGATTGTCGGAGTCGTCTTGCTTGCCACCTGTGAACAGAAAATTGTATGCGTCAAACAATGAAATACTCGGAGACAAAGAGGAGATGATGTAGCAAGACGGGGAGGAAATGGATGTGTACGGAACATATGGTCATGGAAAAAGAATTGATCTGATAATGCGCACCTTCTTTTCCTTCTTGCGCTGGCGACACCTCCGCTTCTTTTGACGCTCCCTTTCCCTGGTCCGTGTCTTCTTCCGCATCTCGTCAAGATTCGCCTCTCGCCTCGCAAATTCCATCCTTTCCCTCTTTGCCTCCCAATCAATCTTAGTAGCCAACCTTCGCTTCTCCGCCTCCTCAGGTGTGATGATCTTGAAGAATGTCGTGAGACTCGCTTGCATGAGCTGATTGGCGTTGACGCGAGAGGGGAGTGGCTTGATTGGACGAGATGCGACGCCGGTCGCTGCGGGACTGAGTGGTGTAGGACGGAGCGATGACGGAGAGCTGGCATCGACAGACATGTGAGTGTGTTGCTGAGTGGGCTCCTGGGCAGCCGAACCGTGATTGTATAGGACGGGAAACATCTCATCTAAATCATGATCGTCGTTGTCGCAATCAGAGTCGTGATACAGGGCCATTGACAGCGTCGGTTCCCGAATCATCGTCACCGAGATCGTCCCAGTCTTCGTTGTCGGAGAATGACTCGAGGTCAGGAAGTTGTCGAAGTTTCAGTCAGCAGACATCGAGGGCGGAGGTGGAGGCGGAGACAATACGAGAGGTGACAGTGTGTGAGAAGATGGTGAGAGACGACGTCCATCATGACGAGATCGAATGATGTTAGTTGTCAAGCCTAAATCCATCTCAAAAAAGATGAAAGCCAGTCAGATTGGGATATCACAGCAGCGAAGAAATTGAAGACGCACCAGCTGGTAACGACTTCCAGCTTGGGTGACAAGAAGCAGAGCGAGTTCGGCACGTTTTAAATGCTTAGTCTCATCCGCCCATGGCCGTACCTTCGTAAACAGCTCGCGCTCGAGAACGTTGCAAGTGGCGATACCGCAAGAGAATGGATCGACTTTAAGAGAGCGAGGCAGTTCCTTCACGACAATGTGCATGGGGCCACCGAGCTTTGAACAGAACCTGCAAACGCCGTTCAAATCAGCGGGGGAGACTGAGTTGATGAGTGTCTCTCCCAAGAAGTCTCCAATCGATAGTTGCCGAGTGCGAGCGTCAAGGCGTGCGGCAACATAGTGATCCTTGCGTCGTGATTGGGGACAATAACGGAGTTGTATTGATGAGAACGAAGCTTGTCGGCGATTTGGCGAAGATGAGTGAGCTGCCCTGGGTGGTTGGTGTCACATACGGTCCATGCGATGGCATCACAGATCCCGGGAAGGAAGGGGACCTGGAAGTCGAGACCATCGAGGTAGACCTCTACGCGGGAGGGGTCCAGAAACGCAGCATTTCTATGATGCTATCTATGGCACCACCTGAAAGTTATAGTAGGAAATGGCTAGCCTTGTGGTGATATGTACAAGAAGAAAGAATATGAACATGAGTGCCAGTGTTGTGTTGCAGAGCAACAACGAGCGTGGTGAAGTTGAATGCAGAGAAGGGAAGTCCTGCGGGACGTACACGGTATAGTCCAGCAAGTTAAAGGAGTAAATGTACCAGGTGAGGAACAATCCACGTAGCGAGTAATATGTCGTCGACCCGGAAGATACTCGACCTTCTGGACGATAGAGGTAGGAGAAGTAGTGAGTGAGCCTTGCAAAAAGGTCGATGGCGTCATAGTCTTGTCGCGTCAGAGGGGTTGATACCGTAGGTCGAGGTTGTGTAGCGGGGAATAGCCAGTGTTGCCGCACTAAGTACGAGACGAGACGGAAGCGCTAGGGAGATAAGGTTCGTAGCGCTACTGTAGTCACGGCGGCGGAGGCTGCTTTCCGGACGTCCCAAACAGGAAACAGAACGGAAGACAGTAAACGGCATAGAATGGTGTTCCGAAATGTATGTATATAATACTGGATGACTGAGCATACCCTGAACGGTAGTCAATTCTTTGAGTTTGGGTCTGCGGTTGGAATTCAATAAAGGAGCTCAGATGTATGAAATACAGAGTCTGGTGAAGTAGTGAAACCCCAGACTGCCGGAGCCCTCCGGCAGATTTTTCTCGTTTAGGAGTGTACCACCCCAGGTTTGAAGGACGATACTCGGTCTCAGCGCTTTCTTTCCGAAGCGCCTCTTGTTCGTTGCTACTCTGTCTAGGTCTAGACAGGATTAGGAGTGGATCTTTGCCGTTTGCAATTAAAAAGGTGCAACGGATATGTAGAGTTCGGCATGGAATGTTAATGATTCTCATTCATTTCCGGGCTTGTATTACTTAGTATGGGGCTGTTCATCCGCTGCATCGTAATGCCAGTGGTGACAGATGTACTCTCACGGTGGGCCACCATCGGAACGCATAACCTCCATCTTTGACAGGACTCGCGATGCGATCTAAATGGCTGGTTTCTCTCTTATTACTCATAAATCTTGACCTGTTGGTCTTCGTTCCAACTTCCCCCCGGCGCTCAATTGAGCTCTTCATAGGTCTGTGGCTCGCTGTACATTTGCATGCGTGTACTCAAGCATCAGACAGGGATTGCGCGCGCTCAAATTCGGGAAACAAATGCTCACCACCATTGCGAAACCCGCTAGTCGTGCATCGCTCTCTTGTCCTATCTCACGTCTTCCTCCAGAACTCATTGTCCTGATATTTGTCTTCCATCTTCACTACACTCTCGAAGCCGACGACTGGGACCTCGTTGGACGAATGTGGATCGCAAACACACATGTTTGCAACCGCTGGCGAACGATATCAATTGATAACGCCCAACTCTGGAGAGTGGTTGGCTTGCATATATTGCCACACGAGAAGTTGCTGCCGGCTGTATTTTCACGATCCGGTAGTATGCAGCTGATGGTAACCGTGGTGGAGGGTTGGAGTGCACAAAGTCTTCGAATTCTTGGCCACGATTTTGACAGGGTCAAATGCCTGGCTATTGAAGCTGCATTCCTTGAGCGGATAACGCGAGAGAATTCTCAGATGTCGACCTCCGTTCTACAATACGTCCACATCGTTGAGTCCATACCGGACTGCCTAGGTCGTGGAGGTAGAAAGTGGACTACCGCGCTCCCTCTTTTTCATACTCTCACCTCCTTGCGTATCTCTGGTATCCACGTCATCACACGGTTCTTGGAGACAGTGGCCGGAGTTACAGTAGACGATACTCTGGAACTGAGCGACCACACAATTCTCACTACTCCCTCGCCAATCAACGCTCGGCCTCATACCGTCCTACCACATTTGTCCAGGCTCAGACTTGACGGTCTGGATCGGTCGATAACCCCTTCATATGCAGACCCCAGCGATTATCATCGCAACGTAGAAGTTAGTGGCGCCAGAGTGGTCGAATGTGGAGAAGACATTATGGAAACTGGCTGCAGTCGGAATGACGATGTTGTGAACAGCGTTGATTTAGAAGAAGAACCAGAGGATACGGAAGGCGGACACGAGGTAGAAGACGACAGCGACACGACAAATAATCTCGCTTTCGCTCTCTTGATGCAGTTGGGCGCTTTTGTCCGCCAGAGAGATCGAGCAAAACTCCCCATCCGTGTACTCCACCTAGAAGCCTGCTCTGCGACGTGCTATGGGAGTAGTACTAGAACGAGGACGATGGACACTCTTGGATATTCCGTGAAGGAGTATGTTGAATGTGTTCGCTGTGGAAACAAAGCAGAAAAAGGTACGCTGACCACAGCCTGAATCCTATATTTTCACCTTCCATGCAATCTTCCACATTCAATATGCTGAATCGTGAACCATGTCACTTTAGAGGCCTTATCCCGAAAATTCAAAATCCATCTAGATCTACCTGTAACCGATGCTGGACTAGACTACATCGTACTGGTTGATCCTCGGCGCCCAGTGTTCAAGCTGATAAGACACTTCGCGAAAAGAATCGGAATACCTGCCGAGAGGTATGTTTCACCATAAGGTATAAGTGTTTTGCCTTGACTTGGACGGTAACCTCTTCTCTCCAGATGCTCCTTGACGCTCGATCAGGTCAGCGGAGAAGGAAACAATGTCTTCTTCAACCCGACAGAGACGATGCACGGAGCGGGGTTCTATCCTGGAATCAACCTCTCCTTGACTGTGATAGATTTATTTTCGCTGAAAGTGACGGCAACATTTTTTCTGCCATGCGCAGACGAAATGATACAGGCGTCGTTCAAGATGCATACCCCAGTAGATATAATTCTGGACGTGCTCTGTGAGCAGTACAAACTCGTTCGTGAAGGGTAAGTTGCTGTTGCCGCTCAAGCTGTTGACTATTCTTACCAGAGTTAATATATAGCGCAAAACTTGTGAAGGGACCTGTTAAGCACAAAGGGATAGACTTGACATGTATTACACTGTCGGTCGTAACAGTACCTCGAGCATAATCAACAGCCTACACTATATATGCGACGCTTTTTCATGCTATGCATTATTCGGCGCGAACCCGATTGAGGGAGTATACGGAGGCAGTATGTTGGTCGCCGTATAACTGAACTCGCCTTTGTTATAATGTGTTCTGGACGCACAGAACACGAAACACCTCTCTTTCACTCGTTTCTGCCCGTGCAGAAAATAAGAACTGGGGCTGTGTCTCACCCTGACCAGCTACTGAGTTCGGACTTGTGCTTCCAAAACTTCGTCGTCGTGCAGCACATACACATCCATGCCAGAGACCCGCATCCTCTCCAGTTCACGTCATAATTTTTCAGGTCGCCTGATACTCAGCCAAGACCCGCTGCACCCCACCCAACGCCACATCCGACATCCGATACAGGTTCAGATCGCCAGCGACCTCCACCTCGAGTTCGAGCGGCCGCGGAAGAGCCCGTCTCAGTATGAGTTACCGGCGAAAACGCCGAATCTGGTGATACGGGGTGGACGGTGGACGAGAAGCTGTTTTTGTGGTTGAAGGCTCAGCTTATGAAATTTAGGATCACATTATGTGTTTCCGGCAAAAGAAAAATTCCCCCGACTAACGTGCTCGTCCGGTCCGCATTCAGCAATGAAGTTCAGCAGTCGTACGTCCCCTGCTCTCCTCGCTCCGAAACGTACCTCACACCATCCTACGCAGATCGAATCGACAGAACGACTGCACGCCCTCGCTCGCTACGTCGATCAAGACACCTCCTGCGGCACCATCGTCTGCCTTATCCGCAACCGCTACCACGTCGACCACACCTTCACCATCCTCGGCTGCACCCTCTTGCCGTATGCGAAGTATATCACCGAACTAAATCTTACGGAACCGCAATCGCATATTGTTGGTTTCGCATTATGGACCGTGAATAGAACGATCGATCTGAGGGTGGCTAGACTGACCATGGGTGACGCCTATCGCTTGCCCTCACGTGTTTGGAGACCGTACGAACATCACCCGTCTGAACAGCGATCTTTTTCGACAGGAGTGTGATGTTGGTAAGAGGAAGAAACTTACGGAGGATCTCCAGGGGTGACATTGGAGCCTTCGGCAATGAGGGGCGAAAGCCGAGGGTGAAGAATGTCGAGAAGGTGGGTGGCTCATACGGAGCGGAGCGAGTGGTCTTGATGAGTGAGATGCCCTGAAGAGGAGGGGGGGTGCGTGTTGACAATGCCGACAGTAAGGAGTTTCGAAGCGTATTTTGGTGCAAAAGATAACAGCGCGGTCACGGGCTGTGGTGTCTTTGCTCCATGGTCCATCTCGTCCAGCACAAGAATGCTACAGCAAAATAACATAAGCCACAGTAAAACATAGTAGGTGTCGACAGAGACGTACCATCCAGACTTGAGGCATTTTAGTAAACCCTCGACGAGCTCATAGCTCTTCTGCCATACCAAGCTCTTCGAGCATTTCAACACTGGTGAGAAACGGAGAGCCGGAGATACAGAGGTCTGAGCTGCCGAAAGCGTCGTTGTTAAGTTGGCGACGAGAAAAGAGGTGAGGAACGTTCTGACCACGCCCCGCTGCGAGCCTCGACGTTAATGCCTATGATGCAGAAAAGGCGGCATGTCAGCGAGGGAGGGAAAATAGTCGGAACGCCGTACTCAGCAGGAGCCTCCACGACGGTTATTCGATGAACGTACCGTGTTCGACCAGGCCCTATCGAGCAAAAGCAAATCTAATGGGCTATTACATCTTTAGATCACCACAGTCTGGAAGTACGTGATGCGCTACTTCACCACCGTACAGTCACCCAATAATTTGTATAGCGCACCTTGTTCTTTACAGTCGTCTCTCTACCAGGCAGTGTTTTCCTTCATTCCACGTCATCTTGATCCTCGGATCCGACTCTTGTTAGCAAGCTGCCGAATTGCCGTAGAATCATACTTCCAGTCTTCGTTTGGATGCGGGCGGATGATGCGGGCGGATGAATTTACGTGGCAGCTCTTGCGCGGCATTGCGAGCCACATTTGACGAGCGCAGAGAAGGAAGAATTGAGCATGGACGCGAAAGCTGGATGGAGGGAGTCGTGAGGTCATTCGAGATATATGTAGTGCTAAGTTATCAATTGATGACAGTTTTGGAAAACGTATAGGTGGACGACGCTGATGATGAGGAAGCATGCATGGAAGCCAAGAGGTTGGTATCATCAACAACGGCATCGCCAATGATGAAGACGGCAAATGCGTACCGATTGCGACGATAGAACAACGAAGGGCCAAGACCGTGACAGTGACGAAGAGTGCATTAGAATGGAAGAAGGTGAGTAATAGGGTTCGCTTAGAACAACTGCGAGCATACCTCGTTTGAGCAAGTGCTAGCAGCCAGTGTGCGAGTTTCAGGAACAAGGCCTGGCTGTCGTCTCTCTGAATATCTGCAGCAGGTAGCCATCGTCATCTATCAATTAACGCAGTTAGTCTTCAACAGACCAAGCACGCGAATTTTGAATACCGGCAATCGAAGTCATCGACGCACCTTCGTACGTCTAACACGACATTTCTTGGGATTCACGACCTTCGTCCGTTTATGCTTCCCCGTTCTACTGATGAACCGTCGAGGCCTCCGTTGTCCATTCCACAAGTTATTGTTTGGGTCGAGTCACGGTAGACCTGGCATGACGCGATTGAGAGGTCCATTGATATAGGAAGACGAGTAGGAATACGTACGGAAAGACATTGCACTCCCCCGTCTACTGTACCTCCCAGACGTTAGGCAACGTCCGGTGTCCCGAGGGCCCTGTCGCGTCGCCTATTTGGGCGCTTGTCCCGGTGTCCCGAGGTTCTTGTCGCCTAGGGTAACATATTCGTATTTTCTCGTATTTTCTGCAACAAATGATATAAAATTGTTTTAATTAGTGTTTAGATACAGGACTGCAAGTACCACTGCCAATGGATGTGAAAACGAGGAAGGTTCGAAGTACTGACCAGTTGTACAGGGCCGGGTCACTCCCCCTCCGAGGCAAGGTGACTGGCCGTCGCCTGTGTCCCGCTGTCCCAAGGGTCCAGCAAAAAAAATGGAGATAAGGAGGCAATAGCCGGTAGCCGCATCTGGTACGGCCCAGAAGACGACAGAAACAAATCTCTGAGTCCCTCAAGACCTCGGACCTTCAAATCTGTCCGGCGAACTACTCGCCATGTGGTACTTAGCAAAAACAATACCGCTGTGGGCACCACTCTGAATCACGTCAGACTCGTACGGGATTAACGGCCTGACAAAACATCTAGTTAAATGGACGGACATGGGCTGGATTGGAATATCCAACGCCCAACTGCTCCAAGCGACTGCAACACTGCTTCACCAGCGGGCACCATAACACACCTCGAATGGGTCAAAAGCCACAATGGAAACGAAGGAAATGAAAGCATGGACAGACTAGCGAGCACGGGTACAGAGCCATCACAAAACGGAAATCTGACTGTAATAATCCCAGATCGCTTCAGGCTGACAGGTGCCAAACTACCAAAGCACATAGCTGATACCCCAGTGCGCACACAAACCAGCAAGGAACCAGATGAGATGAGCCAAGGCATCAAAAACCTATGCGGAAGGACGTTGACCGTCGCTCAGATGTGGGAAGTGATACACCGCAAGGATTTCTCGAGATCTTATCCCAAATTCATCTGGAGAGTTGTCCGTGCAGGATTCAAATGCGGAACCTATAGGTCAAACATCCAAAATTACAAACACAGAGGGAAATGCACATGCTGCAACGAGGAAGCCGAAACAATCAAACACATGCTCATAGTATGCTCCGCGCGAAGAAGAATGATGACCCGGGACGTCGTGAAAAGACTATGGCAGAGAAAAGGCCGACCTTGGCCGCGGGATTTGGACTACGCAATGATACTGGGATGTGCAGTTAGCGACTTCGAAGCGGCAAATGGAACGCGACTAACCGGCGTAAACAGTATGTGGCGCATCCTGCTCTCTGAATTAGCCAACATAATATGTGGTGACGCGCAATTCCCGCAGGAGCAGCGCGGTGTTCTCAATCGTGGGATGTAAAGACAGTCTATGAACGCAATGTTGGATCAGCGTACATTCGTAGATCCACATGTCGGCCAACAGTGTCTCGAAGACAGGCAGGGTGATAGGGGACAAGGAAACTCACTCATCTTCACTCTTGAGCATGACCACGACCGTGCCACGGTGGTCCGGAAGGACTTCAAGACCATATTACAACAGAAAGTGATTCATAATCAATAATAGGAAAACTGAAAGAGTAAGACAAACCTGGGTAAGCACAGAAGCGTGGCTCGGCCCAATTATAGCTAGTGTGTCATCGACAAGTTGCAGAGCAGGCATGAAGAGCTGGTGATACCGCTGTACTGCTAGTGATGGAAGGGAATTGTCATGATGTGAGAACACCCAACGTTAATTCACTGGGGGCGCAGAATAAAAAGGAAGAGCCTGAGGAAATGCGTACCCATGATGAAGGCCTAATCGGCTTCTAGCCGTGCGTCCAAGTAATCGCAACTTGCCTACATTTAAAGTACCCACGCCTTCAGCAATTGTTCGGGCCCATGTCTCGTCTGCGCCACCCGGATCAACAAAGGCATCTTGACCGCGTAGATATACAGTGGAATGAGGTCATCTTCAAGGCGACGTTAGTTATTAGCCTTGGAAAGGATGGCGGGGCTTCCACACATCGACAAGTCAGACAGGGTGTATACTGACGTACAACGGTGGATGGGACGTACTTCGTCTTGTGAGATCCCGTCCTCGTCCTCATCCTCGTTGAACGTCTAGTTAACATGTAAACGAAATGCTAGCATCACTCGGGCGAGATCGACACAACCCTAATACAACACCGATAAATGGAAGGGTCGAAGATGAAGACACATGGACAGCATTATTGGCTAAAAAATCTTGCCTCTCCCGTTTCTTCTTTCACCGTCTCGCAGCCTTCTGTACTCACTTGACATTACAGAATCTACCACAACTGTGGCCAACGTTAAACCCGAGGTTTGGGTTTCCGGAGAGGTTTCGAGAATAGCCTTACCGGCTGATTCAGTTTTCGGGAAAGACCGTGCGTGGATGAAGACTGTTGCATTCTAAAATGCAAGTTGATATCCTATGTCAAAGCCGTTGGACGTGGGTGCTCTTGGATGAGGCAGGAGAGAAAATAGGAGGACGCCTGCTTTGGAAGGAAGGAAGGAAGTCGTGGGAATAGTGTGGTGTCCTGCGCTCCTCTATGGCCGCCTTTTCCGGACGACCGGGGTAACGCAACAAAATCATTTTCCTGCGGGAGAAGTCAAAGCAATCAGTTCCAGTAGCTGATGCATAAAGTCGAGACCGGCCCATATCAAATATGGAGACGGATGCGTGCGAGGGAGTAGAAGAGCTCGATGATGGGGACGAGACTCTGCTCTTGAGCCATTCAAGGATGAACGACTCTGCTTTTATACGCCTTCTACAATTGAAACCCGAAAGTGACTACGCGTGCCTGGCGAAGACAAAATGGGCGAACAAATGCTGGGTCGTTAGGCGTTTCGCGGTCCCTGGAAAAAGAACTCAGAGAAACCGCGCTAGCCATACGCGGCACTTCCAATACTTGTTCGAGAGTTCTCCCTCTTCAGAAGATAAGGTGAGAACCCATTTATCTGCTCAGACGGTAGGAAAGGCGAGTGCCGCGCAACGGAGCCTGAGCCGTTCGCTCTCGTTGAAAGGTGAAAGGGTAAGAGTTTAACGCAAGAAAAAAGGAAATGGAATCAATGACTCAAGGGGCGGCCCTGATCTTGCTTAATCGAGAACCTTTTGGTCAAACTCGATGATGCAATGGTGAAATATCACTCCCTCCAATGTTATTCGTGAAACCTCAGGCTCTAGCGTAGCTGGTTCTAATGAGTCATCAGCATGTCGACACGGCGTAATTTAGACAGACTATGAAGCACTAAGTACCTGAATGTCACGACGTGCTCGTCGTCTCCAAAGTGGCACTTGAATACAGCAGAACCTTTCAATACTGCGCCCTGCATGAAGGTATGTCAGCAGGCTCCGAGAAACATCAACAAAGACGGAGGTATGGCCGTTTGGCGCACCTGCAAAGGGCGGACACGAGTTCCGAAGCGAGAGACTGCCAGCTAGTCCTAGACAGGACGTCCGAGGGCAGTAGGACGAGCGAGCGATCGAGCAAACCGTACAAAAGGCCCGAGTACGGCGTTGCATTTGCGTAGATTAGGACTCCATGAGTCAGCATTCATTCAGGCCTGAGCAGAGAGGACGACCAAGTAGAGAAGGAAGAGGCGAGGTCGGCGGTGAAGCATTGAAACTTCGACAAAGAACATCGTGCGATCCGAAAAGTGATCCTCCCTCAAGCCGGTAGAACGCTGGCTGTTCTGCTTACAAGAAGCTATGAAAAAACCAAACAGAGAATGGAGAGCAGAATCATGAGACGCGAGCTCGTAATCTCCCACGGACAGACCTTATGTGACGGGGAAGATGAATCCATGCGGCACACCCTATAAGAGTATCAGGCCCAGAGCGGAAGAGAATATGAAACCTAGCGAGAGAACTTCAGGAGAAGAAAGATTTGAACTGGCCGAGCATGATGATCTGCACGGTTCTAACCAATGATCTCGCCGATTTCAAGACCGAGAGGGGAGTACCTCGCCTAGCAGCAAATCGTCTTTTCTAGATCCTAGTCGCAGTGGTGATAATCAACACGTACGGGAAGAGTTGGCCTGGTTCTCTGGAGATCCTAGCTTGAACGACTTCCGGTGATAATTTCAAGGAACAAGAGGTATATGACTGACAGATCGCGCGGAAGAGCACTCGTCTAGACCTCTGTAGATATGGTTAACAGAAGGGCGTCGGAAATAAAGTGTTGAAACTTGCAGCAAGACGGACAGGATCGCTACGAGCAAGTCACGTCGGTCTCGATGTGAGGTTTGCGGCGTGGGAACCGTATCATGTCCGTCTCGAGTCCGTCGGGCGACCCCGGGCTGACATTACGTCCAAATCGGGTCTCTCACATCAAAGGTCTCGCGCGCGATCGCTATAATGTCTTCCTTACTCTGCAGTCTCTCTTGAGCTCGTTTCGTCTTTTGAACCTAATAGCGAGAACTTGGCCCTAGATATGTCCTTGCCACTGTACATTGTTCCAGTAATAGATCGTTCCCTCTCTCTTTCCGTGTGTATGTGCGTATAATACTCAATAGTGAGCAACTACACGAACATCACCACCTTCCGGCGACTCAATTGTCATCCCTCAACATCTCGGAAGAATCTCATAATATTCCTGATGAGCTCTACGATCTGTCAATCTCTCGTTCTGTCACTGGACGGGACGCGCTTCAGGTATTGCTCAATCTGGTTCCATAAATCCTGGCGTTTGGGAAGTAGTATATGCTCGACGACGTTCGCCCAACCTCCTTGACAGTCACTCACGCTTCCAATAATATGTCTCATCTGAAGATCTTCTGCAGCTCTAATGGAGCCCTGAGCTCTCACAACACGGGTTTTTCCGCACAATCGGCTCTCGCTCTTGAATGACTCAATGAAACGGTCTCCTCTACGGCGGTTTGAGAATATATGGCAGGCTCAAGAGACTCAGCATCTTCGTGGGCGCCAACGGCACACTCATCAATCTCACATTGACCTCATAGATATCTTCGGAGTATGCCTTACTCGAATGACGCTTTTGTTTGACTTCGCAGTCGAGACCAAACGGCAGACCGACGGCGTTTTTGCAGGCTGCGACCCTCGAGGCTTCGACAGCACGAAGCATCACATTCTAACTCGAATACCAGTAACTCCTCGAGTTTGCATTCATCTTCGGCCGTCACACCCAATCCTACTTCCATCAGAACACGAACCGGGCGCTCAATATAGGCCCATAAGTACCCACCTTATGCCACACACCCACATCACACCACATCTACTTCCAGTCTGATGTGGAGGCTTCATCCCAGTCCGCTTCGAAACGCGCGCGCAAGAACCCGCTCCTGGCATGTTGCTCCAGAAAAGAATTCAACCTCGTCGACGTTCGACACTACCGACGTATAGCATTTTAGATGGTCAGACGTGCGTTCAAATCGACTTCGGTTTGGAAATCGTGACGGTGGCAGTCCATGTAAGTGGGCTCATTTTATTTTCGTTCATATTGTATGTGTCTTGCCTTGGGCTGCCTCTGACATCAGCGCCCTTCAACTTAACACAGGTAATTGGGCAAACAACCCAGGGGGCACCAACCTCTGTAGATGTATCACGCGAAGGAATGGGAGGACGTCGTTATTGAGAAGGAGCTGGATGGATGGGAGGAGATATTGAAACGGAGACAAGTTACTTCTCCGAGTCGGTCTGATGGGCAGGAGGATCCGACCAACTGCAGCGACTAGCTCGTGTCCTCGTCGTCGATGATCAGGTGAGCGTCCTTCAAGTTGTTACCATTCTCTTCCAGCATCATAATCTCGTGTATGGACAGGTGTTAAGCTGATGGATTACCCTGAGTTTGACGATCTCCTCCGCTATTTTAGCCATGAACTGCTGCACGACTGTGATATTCCACATCGAACGAAGATCATGAAAATCATTTGACAGTGCTTCAAGGAGGGGTCCGCCAAGATGGTGGAGCGATTGCAGGTATATTCTCCCTCGCCTTTTGATTTTACATCGTCCATTAGTATTTGTACTTGATTACTCTCGTCCAGTAGAATGCCGCAGGACCAATCTCGTACGCCACCAACATCTGAACGACGCCATGGGAAATGTCTTGCATCACAGCCATAGCATCTCATTATCTATTTCTCGAAGACAGCGACGAGCTTTCTAATCACTTTTCGCTGGGTCCCTGGTTTGCATGCGGGCGTCCACTTGACAGATACATTTACAGTGTTGTAGCCCCTTCATCTCCTCGCAAAGGTGAGTGCTTTATCATAGCATATCAGATTCTCCCTAGGTTTTCTACACTTTGATCAAATTCTGTGAGGCACTGATGAAAAATAGATATCGATCATCACTGACGATGACGCCTCAAATAACGACACTACGCTGAAGGTACTTGAGCGTCAGTTGACAGAGGGAAATACCCCCTTCGGTGCAGAGTACAATTGCATAAGGTAAATGTGCCCCGTATCGTTCAAATGACCTAACGGAGAAAGGTAAGGTACTGGTGGACGTCTACTGAAAGGTGCTTACGTCATGCCGCACATCGCCATCAAAATGGATCTTAAATCTCTCCCCAAACCGTCCGGTAGTCCACCTTCCGGTGTCAATGCCACTCCCATCGATGGATCCCACATCGACGATCACAAGTACGCGGCAAACCTATGATCGGCTCCAGTAACGAATTGCAGAACGTCAGTCAATGGGCGCCGCGACTCGCATCCGATTCGCCTGGAAGCCCTGGAAAAGACCTTTCTTAACGACAACGACGCAAACGAATGGCCTAAAGGGCTTGCCCTTCGCTTTGTTCAACTCCTTCGCGACGCCGCCACCAGACGGTCTCAACATTTCTCTGGGCTCTCTACCTCTGTGTTATATGCTTACCATCTGATTTTCCCTACGGCTTTTGACTCCGTCCTTGTGCGCAAATTCTCTCACTGAGACATGTCGTTTTCGAATTTCAGGCTATTGAGAGGCTTTGAACTTCGAAGGACGCGCTCATGAACCACGTGCTGGTCCATTACACACTCGAAGTCTGATCAATCATACCGGAACTTCCTCGCTGGTCCTACACGAAGCTCAACAGGCCGTTTCTGCACACAAGACGCCGACTCTTGTCGCTTCTATTCCATCATACCAGATTCTCCTCTTCTCCCCTCCGCGAGCCCAGAAGCATCCTCGCCTCTGCTAAGCGATCGACGAGCGACTTCGAACGCTTGAGCGGTACATGAGCGGATGCCTATGTATGTCTTGTCTATCAGTAAGTGTTGTACTGTCACATACGCGATTTCTTGAGCTTCAGGCTCAGGCTGACTACGAATTTTGTTCCACCAAGTCCTTTATCCGGGATACAAGCTAGATTGGCTGTATGTAGACCGGGAATCCGACGACGCTCCGACGGCGCACCTCAACTTCGTGAGACTGTACGTTGCTTCTAATTTATCTATGTATCTCACTCTTGATCAAGATTGCTCCTTTGCTTGCCTGCAATGACATTCACGATTCCTCTCGTGACGTCCCAATTCGGGTCTCCGGTTATGCTAGGCTTTTTTTGCTTGATCTACTCTTCATCACTTCCGTTGAATAATGTACTCACGATGCTTCCTACGGAACTGCCTGCACATAGTGCTTCGAGCTCATCGAGTTTCAAAAAGATGCATCCACTACAGAATTCGTGCGTCTCCTTTCGTTTTGTGGTTACTGGGTGTTTGGTTGCACTACGAGAATTGTTATAAGAGGTTTTGGGCCCAAAAGTCACATAATCAGCTATCGAGGATAAGGTATTAGTTACATTGTTCATCAAACTGCAATGTAAATGAGTAAAAGATATCGACGAACAATTAAGGGCCTGCGATCCGATGTATTTCACAGCTGGTAGGCAACCTCTCCGAATAGGCTTCTGGTTCGACACGATGTGGAGCTCTCGGGGCCTCTGATAGTGCATGTCAGTGAACTCAAAGGGCGACGCCAATGTCAAACTCAAACCTTGCCCGTGGCCGAATGAATACCTCAAAGTGGGTGAGGTGTACTCGCTGCGCCGATGGTTCACTTGACAATCAGTCCATAGTGTGCTCCCCTTGCCGTCCATGCGACAGTGGAGTGATTGACCGAGCTGCCTGGCGTCCTCGAGAGGGTCTGACATGGCTTGCGCGACATAGTCCATGTGAGTACCATTGGGTTGGTCTGCGAGAACCATCACAGTACGCCCCTCGACATCGGTAAAAGGACAAGACGTACTGCACCCGATATTTAGAAATAAGCAAGCAGTAAAAAAATGTTGGTGTGAGGGAATGCAATACCTTGCGTCCCATTCTAGATGCTCGAGGCCATTCCCGAGAAGATGAGAAATCATCTGATGGCGGGCGTCGGGATGAACCAGGTCGGGGATTTCGTCAAGCTGGCCATCGTCCTCGCCATCCTCTAAGACTTCACCAGCCATGCTCGTGCATCCCTCCCAGCCTTTATTCTTACCACCGCATAATCGGACCTGAGGCGTACCGCCATCGCTGTCTGACATGCCATTCAGATGGACCTCGTCGTCCACAAGCCATGCATTTGTCTTGTCATCAACATTGCTACAGCACAGTGGGTATCCAGCCTCCACGATACTCTGATCAGGCCTTGTATGCTGAAGACTACAGAGAGGGCCTAAGGGTGCCACATCAGTTCAGCGATGTGGTGGCGGCAGAGAGTTATATGTGTGTTAGGCAAGTGGATCGCAGACGAGACGGCAGCAAATCCAGTTGAGCGTGACAGTGGCCACAGCGAAAGATGAAGTGGCCGCAAAATTCAGGATGCAGTGAGAGGAAGTAGCGATCGAACATAGGGCGAAAGGTATCAGTAGGGAGAATCGATCAATCAGTAAGTACACGAATTGATTGATCAACGCCAGCGAACTAGAACGCACCTTCGTAATTTTCTATGAGAATCGGAAGACGAAAGTTCGTCAGTCAGATGTAAGTAGGTGTTACGACTCGGATTAGCCTACCATTATCCTGCCTGGGCATGGCTCGGACAGATGTGACTATGGTATCTGTCAGACTGCCCGCCATTGTTGGGACGAATAAAGAGACGTTGAACGGTATGTAGGTATAAAACCAGAGATGGAGAGGCGGGCGTAGGAGGGTATGGGTGGAATATACGAGTCGAGGCTGCACCTTATATGCGTTATCTCAAATAATGGAGACGTATTGAGGCCATGGCTGGACTCGTTGTAGTGGTATGCCGAGAGCCAAAGCATCGCCTTGTAATTCATGAGAAGATCACACCCTGGAATGCACTTGATAATATGCAACGCTGAACACGTCTTCATGGAAGGAGACGGGGGGACTCATGGTGCCCTTCGCCTTCAGAAACGGCATGACGCGGGTCAGCTGCCCGTTGTAGGCTCAGATCGATGAGGAGAATGCCAGAGTGGGCAGAACATCGATCCACACATACCCACTCGGTGCTGTTCATGCTACATCAAACACGATCGATCAGAACGCATACGAGGGTCCCATCATGGTACGAAGACGTCTTCACAGCACAGGCTCCTCTTTTCTTCCAACGCAAAAATGAATCACAATTAAATTCTGCCGTCATAGAACACATATCGTCTTTGTCTGGACAAGTTCGGAGCGTGTAGAACAAGATTGTTTTCATTGAGGTGATGACGAATGAAGCCCGACTGCCCACCGAGAAAGGCAAAGGACGTCCGATGTCTGGTTGCTATACCAGCGACTCCTTCCAAGGAAGTTGGCCGGGAGAACCGCTTCTCGAGATGGAGACGGACGAGGACATCGATAGAGCTGCAGGTGAGTTCTGGTTCGCTCTTTTCCTGGCCTTGGCCGTCTTGGCTTACCTTCCGCTGGGCCATTGTAGAATATGACAAGTTCGGTCCAACTGAGATATCGACGGTGTATTCACGATAACGTTAAAATGCACTGGAAAACGTTCTTCTTGGAGGAAATAACGGCGGTGATTCCAGATGCTGCGAGATGCTGGTGGTGCTCAAGTCGTCTGCTGTCTTCCGATGTCGACCGGAGGGGATCTGGAATAGGAACGGGTGTTGTATAGGTAGGTGTTGTTGCAGCTCACTGTAAACAAAGTCCTACCTGTAGAATGGGTTTATCGTTTCGGAGACTCTCGGCGGCGTAAGCATAGTCCACGGTCTCGTTAGCTATAATACAAGCGATGTACAGGTGGAGTAGCAGGGCCAATGAACAAGGGACTGTACAAATAACGCGGACGAAGCTGTGTATCATATTGTAGCTTACGTTCCATACTTTGAAGCATCAGCTGCTTCGGCAAAAAGGCATAGTCTAGAGTGAGGGATATGAAGTTTGCCTCGCGGAGTCGTCACTTCTTGAAGGGAGTAACGGGCTGCCAGTAGTCATGGTCAGCATGAGTTTACAGCAGGCATAAGGGAAAAGAGTGGAGAGGTTGCATGAAGAACTGGAAACGATGAATATTTCGCACCAGTTCCAAGAATGTAACATCCGGCACTGATCCACTCGAGATCCACCTCCGAAATGATGCATTCCCACTTCTGGTTCACGACAGGTCAGTCAGCTGGCTAGTATTTTTTTGGTTGCGATAAAGACGAAGAACTTACCTTGAACGATGACTCTCGACTTATTCGCCACATACTGCACATATCATACCAAGGCACCTAGGCCAAGCCACAACCAGCACGGGCACATAATTCATTCATCACCTGAGAAAAAAAGGCACGAAGCTGAAAAGAAATCGAATCGATCTCCGCGATCTTCACCGTCTCCGTGACTGCCCGTTCTCGACCGTATCATTCACCGCCTTCGCACATATCTCATTTAAGAGCGTCTGCATTGATTTGTCGACGATAAGGACCATGGTACTCATAGTGCCCGTCAATACAGGCCAATAGGAGAGCAAGCCAGTCAAAGAATGTCAAGGACATGGGAGAGGGAAGCGGGGAGTGGGGAGTGAACGAACACAGTGAGACGAAAAGACAAGGCAGCACCTACCAGTCCCAATCTCATTCGCCACCCCGCAAACTCCGCACTCGCGCTCTCCCCCTCATCCACCGGAACCAAGACCGCACTGCTACCCACGAGCAACACTGTCACGTCCTCCGCATTCGTCTTCATCGTATCAATCAATCTCTCCAGCATCTTCATCACTTGAATTCGCCCACAGCATGAACTGAGGCAGGGAGAGTAAATTCAGAGTTGACCGCCGAGCTTTTGTGCCTAGACAGCGTAATCTGTCGCGGTGGTGTGGTCCCGCCAAATACGGTGGCGGACTGTTGGACGCGGTGACCGACGTAGTCCGGGCCTATTGTGACTTTGCCAGAGGAAGATGAGGGTTTGGGGCCGATAGAGCCTCCGCCAAGGTCAATGTTATTTTTGTAGGGATATCTTGGAAAGTCACAATGTATAGTTGAAGTTGAAAGATGCATGAAGCATAGGAGATGAAGTGGGAAGGGGATCGGTGGAGGAAGCAGGGCTGGTCATGTGGCGAGGAGAGAAGAACAAGCGAACCTCTTTAATTCGGGACATGAGAAGCTCATGCGTACCCCTCCGGTCTCGGTGATGGCTACTGCCTGGCGGGGAAGTCCACTTACGAGGAGCATACCACAGTCTGGAGTGGTGCCACCTATAAACAGCACAAATGATAGTCAGCTCGGAAACATCACAGGCCAGACATCTTAGGAGGAGGTCTTATATAAAAAGCTCAAACACCCACCAAATAACAACGACCGAAATGTTCTCCCTTTCCTCAGTCTCCTTCCCATCCCTCGCCACCCCTTTCTGTTCCTTGACCAAGAACGCAGAGTCATACATCGAGTTTGTCGGCCCACTGTTGAGCGTCCTAGCTGGTAACAGCGCGGCCATATCCGCCAGGAGGGTCGTGCGGTCGTTCTGGGTGAGGAAGACTGAATAGGTGAGGTCGAGCAGATGGAAGGCAGGCGGGCGAAGGGGACGGCGGAGGCATTGAGAATCGATGCGGTTTGGGGGCCAGATGAAACCGAGGTCGGCGACTAAATGACGATGGGGACGAGAACGTGAGCAGTGCGAAGAGAAGAAAGTAAGAAGGGGAAGTGAAGAGGTATAACACATCTTGTTCCGAAAGCACGACGTCTGCCGCTGATAGATGCTTCCCCACACGCTCACCGACGCTCTCCTTCTGTCTCTCCACAAAATCCGAAGGGAGTTCACAGATGATACCAACCAAGTAGGTGCACCGTCATAGCCTTCCCAGACGATGCGAGCAGAGTTCGGAATGGATATCTGTTGCGTCGCGTCGGATCCTAGAATATTATCATCGAGTCAATGTTAATTAGACAAGTAAGACGATTCGAAGGAAGCTTTTGTAGAGGAGCTCATGCAGATCATTTTTCCAGTAAAGTCAGCCTATGTTCACAAAATCTCCATCGGAGATATCGAACTTTGCCTCCAGTGACAGTATATGCCCATTTTGCGACTCACATGATTTATGACTAATCCCGGTCGGCCCTGCCAAACGACTCCGAGTTTGACCAGTAGCTGTCTGCAGCTGACTGTTCGTCTACCTCGTCTGTCCTTGACACTCTCATCTTCTGAATTAGAGTCAGCCTCGCGCAGTTCTCTCAGTCTAGTATTCGCGGAATTGCCATCTCTTATTGGGTCTCTGCGCGAGCCCGAACCTGATTCAGAGTGTCATAAAACAAACAACGTTCCTTGTCTCAGTCGCGAGTGCCGAGAACAGGCAACGATCGTGGTGCGTGTCATAGGGATCCCGCATCGATACGGAAAACTGAAGAATGCAATAGCTATTACCAGCTCTACGAATTCTACGTCCTTTGTGACACGCTGTGCTCTTCAAACCCCGTCCGCTTGTGTACTATGTCCTTCTCGATGTAGTTTGCGTCCCAAACGCCCGCTACCAACTCTCTCTCGGTTAAACGTTCAAGGCATGATTCAACCGTAGGTTCGAGCATGAGCTCCGATGGACCTTCTGCGTACCAGATGCCTACTCCCCGAAATCCATTCAAGAAGTTTTTTTTATTCTATATTCACCGGAATGAAGCCAACCGGGTCTCAGGGCGATATGATGTCGGACGTTTTCACGCACAGCTCGGTGCGGTTTGCTGGAGCGCCTCTAAACGAGGACTTTGGTGATACTGTAGTTTTTCGACCAAGTGTTCGTGGGATAATTATGTCAGCCGTGACCACCGCTGGGCCACGGTTCGTTCGGGCGGGCCACGCGTGACGAACAAGCGGAATTGTTCGCATTAGTTCCCAAAAATTGAATTTTGGGTGATTTTCAGCGCAGATTCATCACGATTTTCTGTTCGTGAACCCGTGTGTATGCGTGACCCCGGGACCAAAACTGTTCGCCGACGCCCTCTGCGTGATGCGTGACGAACACTTGGTCGAAAAACTACAGTAGTGAGAGGCTCGCGTGTGTCGAACAGAAAGTTCTCACGCTGGCTGTGACATCTGCCTTGTTCAATCAACGACCGATCCTCAATGCGACTTTGGAGGTATGAACTCTTGCTTGCATTTCACGCTGCCTTCATGTATTTCTGCTTATAATCAATCCAACACTATCTGTAATATATCTTCTCAGATTCAAATCGGTGACATCCTCTCAGACGCCAAAACCGACGACTGGGTCACTGCGTACAAGATGCGAGACAAGATGCGCTGTTCGCCTGATGCTCGCGACTCGCTCACGGAACCTAAAGCTGTGACGGTTCCTTCTTCATCTGCTTACTCTAACTGATAAAACTCCGTAGGAGACGCTCCTTCTCTTTCATAGTTATGTCGGCTCTGTGAATCTGCAACGTCCGCCGCCATAGGCACCTCCGCCGATTCCAATGGTACCGTCAATGTCAAACGGACCCTCCGTTAACGCCGCTCCGACTTATTTCCAGTGCAACCCAGTGCAACCCATGGCCGCCTTCCTCCCTGCATTCAATCAGCTTGCCGCCGAGAGAAAGCACGCGATAGAGTGGCAAGCTCAATCGACAGGACCATCGCACCCGCCTGCGTGGACTGTCAACTGTTTAGGTGAGTGATTTAGACAGTATTATAGCGCCCAGAGCAGAGCCAGATTAGACGGGGAAGCGAAGCGCCGTTGCTGCACTTGTTTATTTCTTTGTGTGTACATGCAATTAATGAGCTCGAAATTGTCTGTTGGTGAAGGTGGTATACAAGGAACGTCGCTTCCCCTCCCCCTCCAAGTTGGCTCTGCTCTGGGTGTGTCTTCCCGTTCCTAATGAGTGAATTATAGTCGACCGGTTACCGAAAGGGTACGGCACTGGAAAGAGTAAGCAGTTAGCGAAGGAAGCCGCCGCGAGACAGGCCTTTTACAATCTGGGTTGGGCTGGCCGTCAGTGTACTCCCGCTATTGTTCTGTTATCTGATTTTACCCAACTTAGTAAACAGGATCCTAACATTCACGTCGTTGGTCCTCCAACCACCCTCGGTGCCCTGCGCGCCCTTCTCCGCTCCGGATCTCGACGGGATGTCTGCAGTCCTCTGCATTATTGCTTGCATGTACAGGTGTGGCACATGCGCTGGACCAGTAAGCATTCTTGCAAATTTCTGCACCTGTTTCGGGCGAGCTTCCGAGCGGGGAAGGATCTGGAAGGATGCGCGGGGCACCGAGGGTGGTTGGAGTATGATTCAACGTGTCTGTATCCTGGCACTAGATCCAAGACTTTCGGGATCCATTGAGAGTTGATAGAGGAAACGAGAGTGCATGCGGATGGAGGGAAGGAAGGAAGGCAGAGGCGTTGGGCAAAATTTGAAAAATCGTGAATTCTAAGTCCGCGTCCAGCTCGAGCTCAAGCTTTACATTGACGCTTATTTTTCAGGCCGGGGCGTATTGGTATCGAGCTCCGATCCTTATATGTACAGTTTTGGTCGCAAATGCGACGTGAGGTCCGATCCTGTGTGTACATGACTGACGCGTACGGAAAGCTGGAAGGACTGCCTAGATCTGATCGCTATGCTTACAGTTTGTTGCATATGCCTATGCTCGGCCGCGAACTGCCACTCTCCAACACTATACACCACCACACGGACCATTCTGTGTCAAATTGACAGTGTTTTAGGCGTTCGTCTGGGGGAAGGTCCAATCCCTCATAAGTACGGAAGGTGCCCTTATTTGGACTGCCCGATCCACAAAAGTACAGAAATCCTCCAAACTTCGAGTACAGAACCACCCGAATGTTGGGTTTCGGGATCGGACCTCGATACCAACACGCCCCCCTCCTCACTGGCGGCGCACATTTGTTGTGGGCTGGGGGCAATGTCAGAGACTGGCTTGACGACGTTACCGTCCTCAATTACAATTCAGGCTGACGATATTATCGTCCCACATTACATTTCGAGTACAAGTTATATCCTAGCATGACAAGCTACATGACGAGCAAGAAAACAGCTTCTTCGAGGGCCCACTGCCGGCAAGGCACCACCATAACCAAGTACGCTCTCCGACAACTTCGACCGCTACGGAGAGCTACATTGTCGAACTCCTTGGCGTTCGCCATTCAGGCCAGTAAAATTATTCCCTACATCTGTCGTCGAACAGACGTGGGCCTTTTGCAAGTCATGCAAGATGTTCTAGTGGGGGACTTAACGCTCGACCGCGACATGGCTGCCTCATTTGAACCTTCGTTTGGCCCAGCTGACGATGCCGAGGTGCAACAATCGCTTCGCACAAGCTGTTGTACCTTACTCTCTTGCTCTTGTAATCGCAAAAAGTGTCAGTTACTGTTGGGTCCCGATGGACGAGCGGAGGCCGGATCATCCTCCCGCTCCTCCTCAGGGATCAGTCCTCACACGGCCTACCATCCGTTATATCTGACGCCACACCACTCGCTTACGCCACACCGCTCGCAGACGTGTGGAGACGAGTTTTCATAGTGATGATGTGTGGGACGGGGCAAGACGAGTCGATAGAATTCTTGGATCTCACTGCAAGCTGGCCATGGAGAGGGTGTATACAAGCAGGACTGGTGCCTTGACCGTACAATCTCGATCTGATGTAAAATAGAATACAACATCACCATCTGATCCTGTCCTGCACCTTCCTGTTACGCGTCCTGTTCCTTGCTCCTGTCCTCACCCTGCGAAGAATCCAAGAGAAAGGCAAGTACCATGGAACGGGAGTATAAATCCCTCACTGAGGTGCACCCAGCAAGACACCCAATCTCAACAGAGTCGTTCCTTCCTATGTTCGCTGTTAAGTTTAGTTAGAGTCGTTATCAATTGGTGTATGCGTACCTCTGAGTAGACTCCGACATATTATCGGAGCCTAAATTGTTCCAAAAATAGGGGGACCCGCCCATGTTGTATCGCATTCCCAACTTACTCTGGCTGAAAGGCGGTGTGAGGGGTCGCTTCAGAGGATGTGATTCGTGGCAAAGATGTATGCCTGGACCCCCATGAAGAACCTTGCGAGCTTGTGATATGATTCCTTCGAACGGAATGGGTGGCGGTTGTAACGTGACGGTTGTATACTCTTGAATGGTTGATACGCGACCTGTAGCGGGTTCAGTGATATCTGAGTGTTCTAGAGTCTGGTGTTCCTCACTGTCTATGCGCTGGAACTTTGGAGACCGTGACACTTCGTCCTTCAAGAGGAGCTCCAATTTGTCTGGTGACATACGAAGCCTTACTGAGCAAGATTTCATGTGTGAAATCTTATCCTTGACCGTCTTTCTTGTCGTCCATCGTCGCTTGCAGCAGACACATGCTTCAATTGAAGAGACCTGCCTCTCCGATATATGTAGTGACGATAGCTCGCCAGCAAATCGACGAGACCGTTCTCGGGACTGTTGGCGTGTGTCTGAAGCGAGATGGCGGTTGAGTTGCTGAGGCGATGAGGGGATCTTGTAAGAGCGCGATGGAGAAGAATAAGCAAATCGGCGAATTTTCTGACGAAAGATGGAGCTGTCTTCGTCTTCCTGCGAGTCGCTAGCGTCCATGTATGAGCCAACTCCATCTGTAGACACTAGAAATAGTCAGTAGCAAATTCAGTACAAACAGGGGCTAGAAAGCCTGAATGACTCACTGGCTCTCCTGTTCGAGTTATCAGCGAAACCGCGAAAGCCTTACAGCGCCTTCAGAAAGCATGCGAGATCGCAACTTTCCGAATCAGCAAAACCGCGGATTTCTGACGCGTGGTTTTGGATTTGCATCCGCGCCACCGGCGTTTCTCAGACGCCGCCGGAACCCGGAAGCAAGACGCAAGCGGGATTCGATTCCGTGACAGGTGTTTCGTTCCGGATGCAGTACGTAATCTCGCGTGGCCTCGCGCCGCTCATCAGATCCGGTTCGAGTGGCGAGCCGTTGCCACACTGGATGTGCTCCTCCTCGCATGTACCGTAGTTCGCGTTCCAGCAGTCAATGTTCTTATATATTTTACTCTGGGGACCATTGCATTGTATGTTTTGATATGAGCAAAACAAATATAAGCATAAAGTACTGTAGGAATTCTATGAATATTTCTTAACGCCTACAAGAACAAAGCAGCAAACTCTCAAGCACCTTTCCGCGCTCGTTTAGCACTGCTACCCCCGTTATAACCCGAATTAGCCCGTTTAGCATTAGACGTAGCTAGCCCGTCAACATTGTTGCTGCTTCCCGCTACCTCCTAAGTGAAATGAGTGAATGATGACCAACGTAAATGTGCGGGAATCTCCAATGCCTCCTCCTCCTCCTTCGTCGTTCTCACAGGCATATCGTCCAGAGCGATGATTGTCTAGAGAAATGAAGTGGCCGGGTATAGTACCAAAGTCAACACGTCCATCAAAGCGTGTAGATATCCATCTATCACATCCGCTACAAAGGAGCTGCCAAGTGCCGTTGAAAATGCGAGTCTTGATATCCTGAGATTTATATGTGAGAGTAGGTCCTGTAGTTGGATCGGTGGGAGTCAGAAAGCGAAGAAGATTATGTACGTCTAGATTCAGAGGCAAGCGCTGTGGTGTATACTGCAATTCACAAGCCGAGGATTCTAAGAGAGAGCTTGTCGAAGTTTCAGGTGTCAGGAGGGATGAGGCTATCTGTGCATGAGTCTGAGCCCGAGACGTCCAAGAGGAAGATGACAAGCTAGTAGCACGGGCTCCATTGAAGATCAAAGTGCGCAGGTAAATCTGATAATTCTATAAGAGGACTAGGCGAGCTGGAACTCGATGCAAATGTATCATAAGAATGAACAAAATCAGAGCGTTCGAGCTGATGTGGGTCAAGCACGAGTCCTAGTGCAACGGTCGACTCTGGAGCTATGCGAGAATATGAGATGGACAAGTCTTGACTCCTGGAATTGATGACTGATGAATGGTTAGCAGAAATATTACAGAGATTCAAAGTGGAATAGTACCAGTTGTTTCTTGATTTCCAGGTGCTAGATTTTTTGTTGACCGCGAAGTTCAAGAGTATCAGAATGGTTAAGATTCAGCAGAGCCCCGAAGAGTGACAATACCTTCATGATCATGGTTGAAACTCATTAAAGGGGAAGGATTGATATATGCTACAGCATTAGAGAGCAAAGAGACAATTGAAAAGCGCATATATTGAGGGTATAACGATGAGGGATGGTAGATACAGGGAACGGAGGAACAACGGAGGCAATGTGGCGTTCGTTCTAGCGTGATGTTATCCAACTTGGCTCTTGGCTCGACAAACACCGCTCTGACCCCGCTTGCAAGGTAAGGCTGCACTAAGTTCAAGTTTGGGTTGATGAATTACTAATCGAGCCGGCCACTTTATCTAGGACTTCTACTCTCACCTGGAAGATCACATTCATGCCCGTATGCTCAATATTGAAGAGCGTGAGCTCACCCCACGCGAGCGTAACGAAGTAGAAATCCCCGGCTATATCGCCACCGTCGCCTACGCATCAACTACACCACGCACGACATCCGTCGAGCACAAGACTCCGTTAATCCCCAGAAACGCCGCGATATCATGGTACTCTCTAACAATCACGACAACGGTGCTCACCCATACTGGTACGCTCGTGTACTTGGTATTTTTCACTGCACGGTACGCCACCACGGGCTTGGGGGTCCTCTTCGGACTGGCAACGTCTGGAGTTCCTTTGGGTGCGCTGGTAAACGGATCCAGTAAATGTTTGGGGCTGGGCGGCGAAGCGTCTTCCTCAAGTGTCCTTTGTCTCACGACAAACCAGATGCGTTCGGTTTCATCAGCCCTGCCAACGTTATCCGAAGCGCTCACATTATCCCGGCGTTTGTTTATGGCCGGACATCGACACTCCTCGCAAGCCCTTCTCTAGCTCGTGCTAACGGTAACAACGAGGAGGAAGAGGAGAATGATTGGACTTCGGCATATGTAGACATGTATGTGGTGTCCATTTTCCTCCTATGCTCACAAACGTCGGATTACTCAGGTTTTTCACCACTCACCTGTATTTAGGTTTGTCGACCGAGATATGGTCATGCGGTTCCGTGGAAGTAGGGTCGGCCATCGAAGTACGGTCTCTTGCAACGCCGTGCTCCGACGTGAGGCACCCACTGCGAGTTCAGTGCAATGGGAAACAGAGGGTGAAGATAGCATGGATTCAGGGGGAATCGAGGCTGATGAAGAGGAAGAGAATAGCGATGATGAGGAGGATGAAGAGACGGATTCGGATTCGGATCCTGACTCGGACGACGAGTTCTACAATCTCGGGTCTGAGGAGGAGTATAGGGACGAGGATGTATTGTCCGATGGCGTATTCGGAGCACTTTGAGTCTTTTACGGTACATGGCATAATCTTTAGTCTACGTACTGCTACAGATACACATTTTTACTACTCTGACTTGTGTGTTGGACGCGTCGTATCAACCACAGCATTCTTCTCTTTGACTACCGATGTGCACACTCCTCACCCTGGCCTCAAACTCACATAGTCTCGGGGTGGCACCACTATCGGAGTGAGGAGATTTCTTCCACTGTCCTTGACCGTGCTTGATCGCATGGTCGTGCGCTGTTGTGTACTTTGTAACACTCAAGACAGCCCGGTAACTATCTAGGCTTCAATTGTATGCCACTCAACTGCACAATCATCAGATTTTGTATTGAAAGCTCTTGCCCCAGAACGCTAAGCAAACACTCGTTATCAACAACATCAGGAAGCCCGGCTTCGGACTCAAGGTCAACACACAGCAGAGCTCGTGCAGATTGCCGCCCCACCAACGTTCGAACGTGAGCCATCCGCTGTTAGCACCATTTTCATCGTCGACGTGAACGTTTGCATTACCCTTTATGTTCAGCAACACCTGATCACGCCACCCACTTCTACCTCCTGTCCACATATCGCAGCACACTTACTTGCTTCAGGCATCGACCCCGATCCCTATTGGCTGCTGTTCCCGACCCAAGCAACAAGGTGTCGGTGTCGACGGTCAGCGGTACCAATCCCACCGAGTTGACGTGATATCGTGAACGGTATTGCGGTGATGGAACGGTGATGGTCTCGGAGAGGAGCGATGAGACGGGTACATTGATTGGACAGTCTTCATCGAGGGCGCACTCTAAGCCTGGGCTGTGCATTGCACGAAGAACAAGTCAGCACCTCTACTGAGCGTGTCAACGCATGCAACCAAGACAACCACGACATCAGGCTATGCCATGGTGCGGCTGGCACAGTCGTCGTGGCCCTTCTCAGGAATACATGGACGACGAAATGCGCAATCAGAAAGACGTACCTTGGGGTCGCGTACACAACCGAGCGTTCGCGACTACGTAGAGAGAAAGCACCTCGAGTGGCACTATGCCATCTGGGCCACGTTCTGTGCTTCTGCAGTGCAGACTGCTCTCTTCGGCTCAACGAATCCGAGCCAATACATGTGCCCCGACCGAAATGTCTGGTGCGGGCGTTTGTCGGATCTGGATAGACCTTTCACCGGTAGACATATAGACTAGGAGAAATCGTTGGTCAGTATCTGAGAAAAGCAATTCAAGCCAAAAGCAGCGACTGCGTTGACACGCGTGCCAGTCACGAAGTGGTCAAATGCCTTGTTATTCGTTGTGTATGGTTAAAGAGAGGAAAAGAGTATGGTTAATGACTTACACGGATTGGAGAGCCAATGAGCGAATGGAATACCTGTTTAGATAGCATTGGTGCGAAGGACAGAGCGAGGTGAAAAGACAGGTGATGAAAGAAAGCGAGAGAGCGCCTCGACGCGTTGACGCGACGGAGACCAACTTCGGCGCATCACAATTGACCATAATCGGCCACCAGCGCTTCCGGGCAAGAGGCAAGCGGGATCAAAATTCGTGAATCGTGATGCAGGATATTTTGGGACGCAGTACGTAATCAGGCCCGCCGGGCAGCTCCGCCGCCAAACGCGGCGGTGCCACACAGCGGCGAACGAACCACGGATTGCGCGATGTGATGGTGGTCCTCGGGTTTGGTGTACGGCAAAGCTTCGTCTGCATCAGCAGAGCGTTTTGATTCCTTTGAGGAAGATTCTTTGTCCGCCGAAGAATCTTGGTGAACGCTGCGCTTGATGTCTGTGCTTGCAATCTCCGGACGTTCCTTCTCGATCCTTGCAAACAGACGACGCATAAAGCGCTCCCGGGCTTTTTGCTGAGCGATCTGTTTAACATAGTTGTTCTTGTTAGTCCGGTCAAATCTTCTCTTGGAGATTGGATGCTGCATCTCAACCTGTCCGAGGAATATACAATATGTAAGCGAGACGGAATTATTGGTGTCAATAGTACGTGAGAAATCGAGAGCTCACCAGTTGACTGTTATAAGCATCGGTCGTACCACTTCGGCGAATGATGCTCGGGTAGTCAGCAAGGCGGTGAGTCCTGCAAGTGGCGAGGTTGAATGGTTTCAATCGGTTCGGACGCAGGTTGGAAGATAGGTGGCGGTGGCGGCGGAAGTGATGTCGAGGAAGTAAAAGCCATTGCCTTCTCTCTGGCCCGTTCCTCCCGTCGTTTCCGTGCAGCAACTTCTTGAGGGAGCTCGAACGTCGTAAAATGCTGACATGTTTTATCAGCAAATTTGCGTAGCGAGTTTCCGGCTTCGATGCAGATATCGTCGAACTCGAGGAGGGTGGACGTTAAGTGGAGTCGCATTTTGGCGTATGCATGCCAAGAAGAGAGGTCGAAGAGGAGGTCGGAGACGATCTTGTCGTGATCGCCGGGGAACAGACCCTCAAAAACAGGAATCGCGCACTGAGCAGTCCGATAAACTAAACCTATTGAGTATTTTGAATGATTGGTGGATAATGCTTACCTGGAGAAGATGCTCAAAGTCCCTAGCAGCGAGTTTCTTCATCTCCGATGCATTTGTGTGGAACTTGCGAATTGTATCGCGCCCGAATGTAGGAACTTGACGATACCTAAGTGTGTGGAAGTGTGCTCGACAGTGAGCGGGGTAAGTCTCTAATGACGCAAACTGGACGACTTACCGTTCATCCAATGTTTTATCATCATCTTCTTGGAGGGCGATGAGGATCCGAATGAGATGGGCAAATATTGCCTTCCAGACACCAAGCTCGAATTCATGGAGAAGATCTACCAGCAGCGTAGAAGTTGAACTCGCTCAGGAGGCCAAGCTTCGAGAAAGCATTCTAATATGCAGATGAGGTTACTAAGACATAGAACTCAAGCAGCCTGGAGATGCTACTTACCCGTGTGGGCACTGCAGAATTCTTGAGAATGTTGTCGATGCGTGCTGCGTTGACTGGAACACCGGATTCATGAATAGCACGATGCGCATCTTCGACTTCGATTCGACGAGGCTCGCTATCGATACGAGTCTTGTTCTGTCGAGTGTTCATATCAGATTTCATCCCTACCTTGCGGATGTCATCTTTCCGAACAAGACAAGACGGGCATGGACAGAGGCCGAGGTTCTTGATGTTGGCGATCAGTACCCTACATGAGCGACCAAAGGTACTATCAATCAGTCACAGTGAGAATAGCAGCCAGAATGCGCAAAGAACACATGCTTCTCGGGATAATCAGCAATGTAAGCGAAAAAACGAATGAAGAGACGGTAGAAAACACCGTCGCCACAGCGAACAGTGAATCCGTTCTTGTAGGCCTCGAGGAATTCCGGGTTCAGTAATAAATCCCAGATAGCCTGGAAGAGGTCGCGCTTGCAATGCGTAAGGACTTCGGGCTTTGCGCCATCTTGGTAGTAGCTGCGATAAGTATCTTGAAGCGAGTCTGGAAGCTGATAAACGGTACAACATCATGAGAGGGTCCGATAGAAAGTAACAAAACACAGATCGCTCACCTCCGGAAGGTATGCAAGATGATGGCATGAGTTTGACGTTGGTTTCCCAAAAACATACTTAGACAAGGAGACAATCATCATGTATACCGGCCATAGGGAGGCGGCACCAAACTGAGCTCGATGTGTCGTGTCCGATCCAAGAATTATCGGGACAACAATGCACTTGTGGATGTCGTCAGGACTCGTGCGAGGCAGTGCTGTGATTTCGGCGTGAGCATCGAGCATTGCAGCCGATGAATAAACCTCGCTATAGACCTGTTCGGGCACGGACTCCGGATCGGAGGGCCTAAGAAACTGAGCAAAAGGAGTATTGTGAAGGGAAGGGAATATATCGGGATCTTCGTAGACCTGTTTAACAATAGCAAGGATGTCGCGATGACGGATGTTTGTGACTTCCAGTGGCGGAGCATCTTGCTCCGAATTCCAATGGTCCTTGCCCTTGGGAAGCCGTATCGTTACAGATGAGTCGATCTAGCCGTCGTCAGATCGAAATGGATTAGTGTTGTCATCAAGGTACGTGTCGAGACGGGTGTTCTCCCGCTCGAAATTGAAGTTGGCGACATCGCCGGCGGGGATATGTTGCACTAGCTTCGTCAAGCGAGTTGTCTCAGAACATGACTTGGTCTTAGGCCCTGAGTAGTGGTAATACATCGTCAAGGCAGTACCAATATTTTCGAATGGTGCATAGAGATTGGCAGGATCGGAAGGGAGATCAGAAGAAAGACCGCCTGAGATGCAGAAGCTGAAGTAGAGACCGAAGACTGCTGTTGCTGAAGAAGCGTGGACGAATCGCAGACATCATGAAGGGCAGGATTGCGTGGCACAGTCGTTGGCTTGTGAGGATACACACGATAGAGCCCAAGCTCGTCAGGATGTGTAGTGAACGATGGACGGATTGGTAGTGACTCAGGTGCTGGCGAGGGAGATGGAGGAGCAGCCGGCTGAGTCAAGGCAGGAGTGGGGCGTTCGGTAGGAATTTGAGATAGCTGGGTTATCTGGTAACCTGGGACGAAGTCGACGAAATGTTTTGGCACACGGATTCTTCGTCCAGAACGGGTAGCGATGGTAGGAATTGGCGGAGGCGTTTGGATCAATAAATCACAAACTTTAGGCTTTTACAACGTATGAAGGATATCAATACATACCTCAAGAGGAGTCTCTGCATTGTCCTCGATATATATAGACTGGTCGCCAGCCGCATCCCTAATGTAGTCATCGGGCTGAGATGCTAATAAGGCTTCGACCCAGAGATTATATATGACGACGTGACTAATACCTGATTTAAACCGCTACTTGAGGCGACAGGCTCGTTAGAAGGTCCAGGATCAGAGGTGAAACGGGTGTGTCTCGATCTTGCTGGGACATCCTCCGGTTTTGACCGTTTCTTGGGTATGAGAGAGCGTGTTTTATCCTGTTTGCAGGTTGGGCGGTGACCGTTAAGCTGGCGAGTAGTGCTGAAATCAGTTTTACAACCTTGGCATTGTGGCATGGCGAGTGAGCAAGTTTCGTTGGAGGAGAATATGACACGGAGATGTGGGCGACGGGAAGAGGGTGGTAATCATGAAAGGGACGATGATATAACAAAACACAGCGCCCCAAATTGCCACAGGTAGATCTTGCCGGGGTTCCACATGGACATCCGAGTCTAAAAGGCTGACAGACAAGATGTTTGATTGCGAAGTTACCTGAGGAGTTCGCAATTCGGAACAGAGAGCCGAGCTGAGCCGAGCTGAGCCGAGTCAAAGTTGCAGATATGTGCCGAACAGTGCAGAGTCATTCCAGTTTGGGAGTTGATGCAAGCCCAACAACTGTGGCGAGTGCCACCGTAACAGAGGAGTGAGACAGCGATGTCTTTGCAAACAGAAGATGTCTCGAGAAGGCAGCTATCAGAGAGGTCACCAATATACACAAGAATATCAATTCCATCTTGGAAATGTCTCAAAATTCAGTCAAACTCACTCCTTGGAGTAAATCCAGTGCATGAAAGCGAGATACTCAGAGTCCGGAAATTCAACTGAACTGAGGCTCGAGCACATCGCCCAAGATTGACATGAGAGCAGACAAGAGAGACAGATGGGTACTTTACAAAAGCATTTCTGTGGTATCGAGATGAAGAAACAAAATGGCTGAAATTGTTTACCGGTCAAGGAAATGGGTGATACGAAGGATCCGGAGCGAACAGAAAGGAAGAGCGAAAGGCCGGACCTCGGGCCTGGGGTTTAAACTCCGCTGATTCTCCGCTGCATTCACGAAGATACTTTTATACCTCGCCACTCTCCTCTGCCACTCCTCCGTCTTTTTCCCCTCCCTCTCTCATGGCCTCATCCGTTCCCTCATCCGTTCCCTCTGCTGTAGCCGTACTTACAGATACCGCTCCATCTTCCTCAGGAGAAGGCTCTTCACCTAACTCGAGTTCAGATGCCCAGGCTGAGCTCAGGCTGAGTGGCCCCGACGATCCTCAGGCCATCGCTGCGCTGTAAGTACTTATTCTCCTTTCTATTCAGCTCTCGAAAAATCATTAAATTGTGTTTAGTCAAAAAGATCTTGAAGAGAAAGCCCGCTGGATCCCCCGTGGAATCGATCCTTTCGCTGACCCTAGGACGGCGTTCGAGATCGGGATGGCGATTGACGATCTCCTCGAGCTTCAGTACAAGGAATGCAAGGAAGGTGATGGTCAGGTCAACAAGCTCGCCGGGACTTACGGACTGTGCATATCTCAATACTGTCTCTCTCTTATCTCACATGTCTCATTGGTTATACCTGTTCAATCTACGTGCTAGATCGCGCGACGAAGTTTTGTAGACGATGATCCGAACGTCAGCCATGTAGTCTTTGATCTGCCTTCAGTTTCGCCGGCGAGGAGTGGGGAGACGTTGTTGGGTTATGCGAGGACCGTCGATGATGGCTTTGGCGGGGTAGAAGGAGGCGATAACGAGACAGACTCGCCAGAGAAGGAAGGGGGGAAAGGGGAGCTATTGGTGGTTAAGTGAGTGGGCGAGGTTTGGGTGCGAGTGCTCACTCCATTTTTGAGGAGGGGCTTGAGTGAGGACATCTATGGGGTGTCTTGGCGATTACAGATGTAGAGGACGGTGACGAGAGGAAGATGGGAGAGAAGCTGGAGCCGGTTATTGTCGGGTGGGGAAGTTGGCTAGACGGGGCGAATGGAGGGAAGGAGAGGAAACAGAGCGCAGAGAGATAATGACGGGGCTGACGAAAAGAGAATGTGCTGCGTTGGGAAGGTCTGGATGCATTCATACAAGTAGGTAGGGCTATACAATATCCCTTTTTTATTTCTATCTCGATTCGCTCGGTGGGCATGACTCTTCGTTTGATGCAAGGAAGAAACACTTTTCCAAGTACGCAGTCGCGTGCGCTGGTCCGACTGTCAACATACCACTCGCTACATTTGGGCCCCAACATCGCGATGGTACTCTCAAGAGATAAGTTTGTGCGCGTCTCCATCCATACCGTGCCATCAGAGGCGCATTGTCAACGACCAACAACTATTCTCGGTGGTCATCCCTACGCTAGAGGCTCCAGAGTCGAGGTACGTATCTCCTATCCCGTGGTTGTCTTTCCCGCATCCTCTAACGCCTCTTTGCTTCACGTGCTGTGCCATTTCGCCGAATCCATCGGCTGTCTTTTATTTCGCCCTCCACGACCCTTTGTTGGCCCCGTTCGTGCTTCACCCACTATCTTCCTTCTCCAAATTATATTTTCATGGGGATTTAGCTTTATCTGCCTACACCAGAAGAGCGACGAACGACAATGGGGAGATAAACGGCAACACAAAGGGTACACGAACAAGGAATGTATGGATCTAAGTAGAAGAGAAATAGTGTTTCGACATTTTTCGTGCGATGAAGAGAAAAATGGAGAACGATACTCAGATAAGCGGACAGCAAAATACTGAGCTCCACTCCCAAGAGGCTGTGTCCTCGACGAATTCTTCAGGGCCCGAATGGTCGTGGTCCCGGTCGCGGTAGGGGTCGAGAAAAGGGTGGACTGCGCATCAGGGCCATAGATGTCGAGAGCAGAGGAAATCCAAGAGGAGCCAAGAAGCGTCGTCCTTTCTCAGTTTCGTTCCCAATTCGTTCCACCCCTTCAGCTCATTATTCACCACAAGATCGTCCCACTTCTTTGTACTATACTTCTGAAGGTGTTCACGCGGGCCTCCCTTTCTCATTAGCCCAACTCCCTTCGTCGAGTCGAAGAGAGTACAAATCAGGACAGTCCATCGGAACACGTACCTTCATCAACATA